CGGCTGCCGGAGAAAGCCGACCCGTTTTGACCGAAGAGGAAAGACAAGAACAGACCAAGAGGTAAAGTAGCTTTTATTTCTTGATGGTGCTGGGGARGGAACCCAGGGCCTTGTGCATGCTAAGCAATTGCTCTACCAGCTGAGCTATATCCCCAGCCCCCAGGTAACTTTTTTGAGGGTTATCTTCCACCCTTCCCCAATACATACACAAGTCTGGTTGAAGAACCTTGGCTTTTTTCTATTCTCTGTTTTTTTAAATCCTGAACTTCAATATGCTGAGCATTTATTCTACTGAGCTATACTGCTACCCCTGTTCTTTCATTCATTTATTTTGGGACACATCAGCCAATTTTGTTCTGTCCCTTCCTATTGTGTGTCCATTTCTCTTGAACTGTGTCCTTTCTGCAACATAGGATGTTGGAGCTGGTGGCYCAGAAGCAGCGGGAACGTGAAGAAAGGGAGGAGCGGGAAGCATTGGAGCGAGAAAAACAGCGAAGGAGACAAGGTCAAGAGCTTTCAGCTGCACGCCAGAGACTACAGGAAGATGAGATGCGCAGAGCTGCTGAGGAGCGGAGGAGGGAAAAGGCTGAAGAGTTAGCAGCCAGGTCTGGGTGATGGGCATGTTGGTTTACAGGAGAAAAAAAATCAACATTTGGTTTGTTAAGGTCTGACCTATTTTCTTCCTGTCTGYATTCCAGACAGAGGGTTCGAGAAAAGATCCAAAGGGACAAAGCAGAGAGAGCCAAAAAGGTGGGTGTTGAAAAGACAGTGATTGTAATGCAAAAGGCACACTAAAACCCTTTTCCAGCTTCAAAGGGGAAGCATGAGTAAATACCATCCATACCACCCATTTCCGGAGGGTGGGTAAGTGCCTGACTCCTGTTTTACTTTGTTCTCTAGTATGGTGGTAGTGTGGGTTCTCAGCCATCCCCACCAGTGACAGAGCCAGGTCCTGTTCCCTCGTCTCCCAGCCAGGAACCTCCTACCAAGCGGGAATATGACCAGTGTCGCATACAGGTACTGATTCTGATTCCTGTCTTGCTCCTGTAACCCCTTTGTTGACCTATAAGGAGCCCAGCTCAGAGCTTATTTCAGTTACATTCCCTTTGCCAAATCTCTTCCTTCTTTGTACATGACTTGAAATCCTACCTGTTCCACTCTTAGGAAAGATATCAAATTTCACCTGCTCCAGTCATATTTAAATCCATACCTCCCTCTTACTCAGCATTTATCCTTTTACTTACATTGTTTTCATTTGGTTCATTACACAGCTGCTTTCACAGTGTGGAATTTATCCTGAAATTTTTTTATAATCTTGTCTGTGTTGAATTGCAAGGAAGTTGGGGCCACTTGTTCAAACTTAGTAAGGCAGAGCATAAGTGGTTGTTCATTAAGTGCTTTAAATAGTAGGTATACTGATTTAGTCTAAGAAGAAGGAGGGGCCAACTTTAACTCTTTTCCTTATTGGTTTTGGTGCTTAACAATACTGGAAATCTCTCTTGCCCTTAGGTCAGGTTGCCAGATGGAACTTCACTGACCCAGACATTTCGGGCTCGGGAACAGCTGGCAGCAGTGAGGCTCTATGTGGAGCTCCACCGTGGGGAGGAACCTGGAGGGGGCCAGGACCCAGTGCAGTTGCTTAGTGGCTTTCCCAGGCGGGCCTTCTCAGAAGCTGACATGGAACGGCCTCTGCAGGAGCTGGGTATGGCATGTGAGACCAGAAGCCAGGATTTGGAGGAATGGAGGGAAAAGAARGGATATAAAGAAGGGATTTGTGGGGATGGCATGAATCCAGGAGTTTGGGGAGCAAAAAACAAGTATTCTTGTGGCTCAAGCCTTTTTTTTTCCCCCCATTTTTAGGACTTGTGCCTTCTGCTGTCCTCATTGTGGCCAAGAAATGTCCCAGCTGAGGGGCCTTTATTTCATCATCATTCTCTGACCTCTTCATCTTTGATAAAGCACTGACATCCCCTTCCAAATAAATAGACCCTGAGTTCTGTATATGCCTGGCTCCTTYCTGAGTGGTTGGGAGGGACAAAACCAAGGAAGAGAAAGAAGCTAAAGGGAAGGCACTTGGAGAATATCCCTTTCCTCTCCAACAGAGACTTGTGTCTAAATCTTTGGGTCTTAGCTGCCTCAGAGGTGGAGGGGAGAGGTGCTGAGCCAGGGAAGGAGAGAATGCATCACAAAAGCGACTTTTGCTCCTACAGGTAAAGTGGTGCATAAACTTTAAATCCTGACTAGTTGTGTGCCTTGACTTTAAACGTAGTTTCTTCAGTAGAATAGGAATAATAGTACTATAATAATAGGAATTATAGTATTCCTTGGGGTTGTCCTATGGGTTACACAATAACTGACATGTGCTTGAGCACAGTGCCTCACACCTAGTAAATGCTCAGTAAATAATAGCAACTAAAAGTATAGTTTTTTGAAGTGGTGATCCATAATCATCGAAAGGAACGTTAGTGACCTTTGCAAGTGCATCTGTTGTAAGGAATAAGTCAGCCACATTTTGCTGCTTTCCTAGACACTAAAAGGTGTTAAACTGGGATGGTGGCACATGTCTGTAATCCCAATGAGTCAGGAGGTTGAGGCAGGAGTATCATGAGTTCAAAGCTAGCCTCAGCAACTTAGGGAGGGCCTAAGGAAATTAGTGAAACSCTATGTCAAAATAGCTCAGCAGTAATGTGCTCCTAGGTTCAGTCCTCAATACCAAAAATCAAAGGTATTATGTACTTCA